ACTCTGTCAGCCATTTTTGTATTGATTATTTTTAGATAGGGTCTCATTTCATGCCTGAGCCAGCATGGACCTTGGTTCTCCTACTTATGCTTCTCCTATTTATGTCATTCCCTGAGGATGACAGGCACATGACACTGTGCCCAGCTACTGGTTGAGATGGGGTCTTGTTAACTTTTTACCTGGATTGGACTTCAACCCAGATGCTGCTGATCTCCACTTCCCTAATAATTAGGATTATAGACTTGAGCCACCATGTTGGCTGAAAAATATCTTCCACAATAAATATGGATTATTTTCACAATCAGAGCCTATTGAATAAGGTGTATAAAACAACAGAAAGAAAATCACCACTGCTCAGTGGACAGTGTCTTTTTAGGGTTACATATCAGTGAGGCAGCCTTGGTGGTAAAACCTGCCCAGGTTGTAGCTTTGTGTAAGGAAACACACAGTCTTTCTTCTCTCTTCTACTTTCCAATGACACTGTTAGCTTTGTGTTGCTGTGACAAAATTCCCAAGATAAACAACTTACAAGTACAAAAAATTTATTTCGGCTCCCAGTTTCAGAGGTTTCTGTCCATGGTCACTTGGCCCCATCACAACGGGCCTGTGATGAGGCAAGACAGCATGATGGAGAGTACAGCTGTTCACCTCATGCCAACTAGGAATCAGAGAGAGAGAGAGAGAGAGAGAGAGAGAGAGAGAGAAGAGAAGAAGGAAGGAAGAGGCTTGGGTCTAAATATCCCCCTCCAAAGGCTCCCAATGACCTACTTCCTGCAACATGGCCCCACCTTCTGAAATCTCTAGCATCCCCCAATAGCACTTCTGGCTGGAGGCCAAGCCTTGGATCCATGAGGCTTTGGGGGACATTCCAGATGCCAACTCTAACAGCTCCTGACCTCCTCTTAGCTGTTCTTCTGGGTGGCTGGAGGATAAGCTTAAGCAGGAAGCTTGGTGAGTCTATGAATTAGAACAGTCTCTGGGTGTCCCTCTTTTGCATTCCTCTGGGCTTTGGAGGAAAGGAATGAGGGAAGATCACCTTTTCCAGATCACAGTGCTGGGTAGCTGTCCACCCATCTGCTATGTTTTAAATATGGGTGTCCCCCAAAGGTCCGTGTATTAAGGGTTTGTTCCTTGTGGTCCTTTAGGAAGTCCTAAGGTCATTGAGAGCATGCCTTGAAGGGGATTGAGCACTCATTGTCTCTCTTTGGTGCTCCTGGGCTTATGAGATGCAAGCATTTTTTCTCTGCCATATTCTCCTGCCATGATGTGCTGCCCTTACCACCTGATCTTAGACTAGAATCTTAGACCAGAATGTGAGACAAAAGAAATCTTTTCTCTTTATAATTGCCTCAGGTGCTTTGTTATGGTAACACAAAGCTGACTAATACACTACCTCTAAAGGAGCCCCAATGTGGTCTAGATGTTTCTGTACACACAGATCTTCCCCTACTGGCATCCTAAGTATTTCCTTTGCAAGACTGCTGCATGAATTTCTGACCCATGACATCATTGCAAATGACTGCTACAGCTTGATGCTCCATGCAGTGCCCGCCCTGGAGGACGGTGATGTCCAGTTGTGGTGCTTCCTCAAGCAGCGGGTACTCTTCAATACAGAGGTACCTCAGAGCGCCTGGATTCCCACAAGATGATGCAAGGAGTGTGGACCTGCAGTGGGTCTGTGTTGGAAGGCTTCTTATATTTTAAAGATTTTCATATTTTAAGTAGAATATAATTTTTTTTAGTTGGAAAAAGTAACATATTTTGTTGTGAATTTCAATTTTAGAAATTTAGAGCATTTTTCGGACACACAGGAAATCTTTCTAGGCTTCCTTCCTAATAAAGTCTGTGTTTTTAATTCACCTTGATGAGATTAAGTTGGTTGCACAGCTTTTTCGGGGGTGGCTATGGTGTGGACCATGTTCGAGGCACTGAGGGAAGAAGATGTGTTGAACACAGGCGAGTGATTCTAGCACTCCTTGTCCCCAAAGGAACTTGGCCATGTTCATCCACTGAGTTCTGAAGATCCCTGCAGGGGGTCTGTCACACCGTGAGCCTTGGGGAGATAGTCACCATTTCTGCATCTGAGGGATGTGTATAAAATGAATAACATGTTCCCCAACTCCCCAATGTCATTGTGAGGAGCATTTTGAAATTAAAAATGTTTGAATGCAAGATCTTATTTACACTACTTCAATCATTCTACGTATGTCCAATGATACCAAAAAAAAGTTGGGCAGATGGCATAACTCAAGTGGTAAGAGTGGTTGCCTAGCATGCCCTATGTTCAAGTCCCACAACTGAAAAACAAATATGCAAGTAAAATACAAGATCCAGGCTCACGGAGCTTACGGACTGAGTGAGAACACAGATCCTTGATGATCTAATCCATGGTACACAGAAGCCATGAGTTCAGAGGAAGAACCTTTGAGAGGTCAGAGGAACAGGGAGCTTCATGTTGGCTGGGTTGGACTTGAACAGGCCACAGAAAAATGCCATGATTTTCAAAAACTCGGGATCAAGGATATCTAAGGGGAAAGAGCATGTTGGGCTCGGGAGGCATCAGGAAAATGGCAGACCAGACTAGAAAATGTTAAAAAATAATAGAAAGCTGGATGTCAGTGGCTCATGTTTGTAATCCTAGCAACTAGGGAGGCTGGGATAGTGAGGACTGTGGTTCTGGGTCAGCCCTGGGGCTAGGGAGTGGGGAGAGTTCACAAGATCCCATCTTAATAGGAAAAAGCTGGGTGTGGTGGTGTGTGCCTGTCATCCCAGAAACAGTGGGAAGTGTAAAATAGGGAGACTGTGGTCCAGGCTGGCCTGGGCAAGAATGAAGACCCTATCCCAAAACAAACTGGAGCAAAAAGATCTGGAGGTACAGGTCAAGTGATACAGTGCCAGCCCTGAAAGCATGAAACCCTGAGTTCAAACTCCAGTACCACCAAAAAACATAAAACAAAAACAGGGAACAAGCTAGGATTCAAAGGGACAGAGAGGCAGGGGGCTGGAGATCTCAAGAATCAGGCAGTTGTGTTCCCAAAGAAAGAATGTGCCCATGTAAGCTGTCCTCTATACCCCCATACCCAACCATCTACTTAATGCATCTGGTAACCTGGTAATAAGATAGCTGTGAGAAGAAAATAAAGACGAATATTTCCAAATGTCTTAGAAACCACACAAGGGAATATAAATGTGGTCTGCTATCTTAATACACTTGAGTTAAATAGAGAAAACCCAGGAATAGAAATAATCTTTTCAATTGAATTTCTAAGGGCATTAACTGTAGAAAATTATCCAAGAAAATGTATTTTTTCAACCTAAATTAGTATTTATAGAAATACTGAATAAATAAAACATTGGCAGATGAAATAGTAGGATTGCATGCTTAAGAATTTTATGAATTTTGCAAAAAAGATAGATCAATCAAATTGTAGGGTCAGCCAACTTCCCATTACCTGGATTTTTTTTTTGGAGTTTTTTTAATGGTCTTTCCCCTAATCATTGAATGGCTGGCGCCAGATCTGTGCCAACCTAGCTCATTAACTTGGTGCCATTGGCTTTAATGAAGCAGGAGATTTGGCTATGGATGGGGATTGCAAAACAGATGGATGATTGGACAATAATAATGAAAAATGCATGTTTATGGGCTTCTATAAGCACAGGTTATTGATTTAATGCAGTTTAATGGATTTTATAGTTTTCAGATTTTCTCTAGTCATCTTACAGAATTATTTTCCAATACTAGAGTTTCAAAAACTTTTTCTCTATGGTTTTGCAATGGCTATTCAATTGTCTAGGATTATATGATCAGATATGTTTTCATGTTTGACAAGTAGACATTAAGATTTTTTAAAGCTTATGTATACAAGTGAAGCCACTGAATATGATATGGACCCACAAGACAGACCTGGGTAGTTGGCAACAGGTGAGCATAAAGCGATTTTTAGGTGCTGTGCTACTTTATTAGCCTGATCAATGGGGAAGAAAGTTCCAAGTGGAAAGCTTATTTGTTGGCATAGCCATGTCTCCATTTAGTGCATTTTCTGGGTTATATTACATTCGACAAGAACCTATTACTTTCACCTAAATTTTAGAACAAAACTCCTTCAACCAACACTGACCAGGCAGGGCAGAGATATATGAACAGAAAACAGGACAACAGAAAACCTGGCAGGAGCAGAGCTACCCTGCCATGTGGGCCAATAGATGAAGCCATCCCCATATGGAGCCCAAGGCATTCTGGGAATATCTCTGGGGTATGAGGTCCTCGGCCTACTGCTACATGTAATCAGGCTCCCTTCAGATGGTCACCAGATTCCTGACCAAACTAATAAAATTTTCAGGTTTAAGGCTGAAAACAATTTTTTCATGAGGATGTCCACATGTGTTTGTTTGTATTTGGCAGATTTAATTTAAGTGGATGATTGAAAAAATGGGGACTTCTCTAGATGCTGGAGTAAGAGCTATGATTTAATCTGTTGGTCCCATTTGAGTTTCCACTAGGACTCCTCTGAGGATGCCAGAATATTCTCTCTGGGAGTGTGGAGCTGAGGAGGGGCTGTATGTCCACTGACCTGGGGAAGAACACCTGAATGCTCTAGAATAGGAGTTGGCAGATGGTGGCCCATGGGACTATTCAGGTTCCTTGCTGAGTGCTCCCTTGACTAAAAGTCATACTTTGGAATGAGCAGACATTTCTGGGATTCAGGAACCAGGATTCCTCACAACGAAGAAAGAAAAGTTTATGCCTTCCAGGACTCGAATATTCCAGAGGTGAGTTTTAAGTCTTAACATCATGTTATTATGACATCATTGATACAGAGTCAGGGTGAAATAAAGACACACAAATGGAAATATTTATTTCCCCAAAATACAGCTTAATTTTCACTCTGCAACTTTGAGGAGGAATATTGGGAGGGAAAGGGAGAAGATGGCATGGGCAAATTGACATCCACTACAAATCTTGGGGAGTAAATACAAAGCATCCTTGGTCCAGGTCCAGTTCATGAAACATCACAACCTTTTTTCCACTCAGACAGGTCTTTGCCCTCGCAGTGTTTCTTCCAGCCTTGCCTAAGCAGGAGGGGGAAGCAGGAACGGCAGAAAGAAGCATGAAAATCCAAATATGCTTAAGCTCTCTCAAAGCCCATAGAGTATCAACCAAAATAACCAATGATGCCCAAGGTTAAATTTCATTTTCTTCTAAGATCTGAGGTCTCTATTATTTTGCCTTAAGACTTTTCTCTCCCAGGTTTTCTCCTAATCAGTATCTGTTTCATCAACAAACAAATAACTTTTATAAGGACGGGTCATTGAGTTAAACACCCACATCTCTAAAAATCTGCATTCTTTAAGTGGGTGGCCTGATGAGCTGTGTTCACTAGAAATACAGCCCCCAAGGCAGCAGGAGATCTGGCTCAGTGATGGTTCATGCTCAACACTAGCTAAGGATTTCTGCTAAGCTATCAGGTAACAAATTTAGGCTTTTTTTTTTGTTTATTTGTTTGTTTTCTCACTGCTGCTTATCCTGTTTCCCCACAAAATGTTGCTGCATTTCTCCAAGATCTTATCCAGGTTTAGAAATACCAGATTCGTCTACTGTATTGACTGGAGAGAGACTTTGCAATTCACATTAGAAAGTACCTCCTTTTCCACTGTTTGGAACATCTTCCTATGAACATGCAAATAGCCTGACACAGTATATCACTTCTCCTGACACTAGTCCCTTCTACCATGTTAACCAGACATGGTACACTGAGTATAAACGAGATCACATGAACATTAGTGGACCATTTCTGCAGAGGCTGGTTTTCAAAGTTCACCCTAGTCATGATGAAGAAACACACTATAACCGGCTCCCATAGCTCATGCTTATAATTCTAGCTACTCCCGATCTCTAAAGGCTTGAGGTTCGAAGCCAGCACAGAAAAATAGTTCACGAGACCCTATCTTGAAAATAACCAACACAAAAAAGGGCTGGTAGAGTGGGTCAAGTGGTAGAGTGCCTGCCTAGCAAGTGTGAAGCTGAGTTCAAATTCCAGTACCATAAAAAAGAGAAAAAAGAAAAGAAAAACACACTGTAAGTTTTGCCCAGATCAGCCCAAATCTGCCAAGAGAAGACTCTTACCAGTAGTTCATCCCTTGTGTCTCTTTAACAATTTTCTTGGCACAGATGATCGAATCTGTGAGATCATCAGTGACCAAGTCTGCAAAAAAGAGGAGACATAAATGCTAGCTGAGACTTTGTGGTTTGAGGGAGAGCTGCACATCAGGGTTTCCTTATTTTCTCATGGTTTGGGGATCTAGGGGGCTGAAAGAAGACTGACTTTTCCTACATGGTCACAGTCTCAGTTTCTTTGAACTTCCTCACCAATAAAATACCTTTGGTTTTTCAAGACCATCCTCATCTTCAATTACCTGAGATTTTGGAGGAATGACCCAGTCCTGAAGAGTTTGGGGGACTATATGTGGAGAAGACACAATGGCAGAATATTTTTTATGTTCTGAAGAAGTACACAAGTAAGACAGGACAGTATGGTGCTTTTTCTACCTGGTTAATTTGACATGTAACATCTCTCTGTTGGTTAATATTAAACTTTTGTCTATTATCATTTTCCAGTTTGCATCTTTTAAAAACATTTATCCAGTTGGTCATAATGGCCATGATTGTAATTCCAGCTACTCAGGTGGCAGAGACAAGAAGATCATGATTTGAGGCCAGCCCCACCAAAAGTGCAAGGCCCCATCTGAAAAAGCAACTGAAAACAAAAAGACCAGGTCTGTGGCTTGAGGGATTGAGCACATGCCTAGCAAGTACAAGGCCTGAGTTCAAGTCCACTATTGCCACAGTGTTTTCATGTGCAGAAAAATTTAAGTTTTAAATCAAATGCCCTGTCTTTATCTTTTATTATTTTTTCTATTGCTTCAAATAAAATTAATCTTTTAACTGAAACATAGTCACTTATGTCAGCATTCTTTCCTGCTTGCCTGGAATTGGCTCAAAATTCTCAACACAAGCATGGCAGAAAAAGCTGAGTAAATATAAAAGTCCAACATCACTTCTGTTGTGAGCTGGGTTCCCCAGGAGCAGAGTTAAGGATGGAACACTGATTGCCAGGGGCTTGAGGTGGCAGACATGGGAACAAGTTGATCACAAGGTACAAACTTCCAATTATACCAAGAGTGAGCTCTCGGGATGTAACGAACAGCTTGACAACTCTAGTAAAAAATACACTGTATACCTGGAATAGAGAAGAGATCTTAAGTGTATTCTCCTCTCTTTTACACACACATGTGTGTGTTCATTAATTTGTGATATGTTCATTAACTTGATTCTAGCATATGTAGTATACATTCCACAATGTATACATACATCACACCATATACCTTAAATACAATTTTTATTTGCCAATTATACCTAAATATACAGGTATATTTAAGTAACATCAAATACACCCAAAACTCCAGTTTCTCAGTTGCCCTGGCTCCATTTCAGATGTTCTGGAGCCACTGGTGGTGAGTGGCTCTTGTACTGGAGAATGTTTCCATCATTACAGAAAGTTCTAGAGGACAGCACTAATTTAGGAGAAAAAAAAGATAACAAAAAATTTACCAGTATTTTAAGAAAGATCAGCTCTATCTAAATTGTAAGATCACTGAAGCTCTTAAATCTTTGCTGCATATTTTCTAAATTTTTATAGTAGAACCGCGTTAACTTTATTTCCAGAAAAAATGACCAAAGAAGGACAATAATGTTAGCTTGAAATGTTGCATTTTGCTAGAGTATTATAACACCAAATTCTTGTGGAAACACTATCCAAAGTAAATTTTTTTCCTTGAACATGCTGGTTTACTGGCTCATTTTGGTGCTTTCTCTGTTAGGTTTATCTAGAAAATAAAGCTAGTGACATTTTTTTTAAAGTAAATTTGTTCTAAGTGTTGCTTTAAAAAAATTTTTAAACAAAAAAGCTATTAACTAGGACAAAAATTAACCAAAGATATCTATAAGATATAGATTTGTAGCAATGCTACAAATCCACTAGCATTTAGTTTTCATGAAAAGTAAAACTAAGACAGCTTATGGAAGTCTCGTTTCTAGAGTTTGAAGTATTTGCAATAATAATGGTTATTATTACTAGCTAGTATTTATAGGGAGAGAGTCAGGCATATGTTAAATATCCTTACCTAACATCCCATCAATCCTCAAAACCCACCATTTTGGTGGGTACCATTATTATCTTTATAAACCAAGCTTACACACCCGAGTAAAGGATGTGACTCCTAGACTTCTCCCAGGAGCTGGTGAGGTTTCAAGGTGTGGGAAGGACACAGATTACGGAAGAAGTGCATCAGATTCTCATATGATGACTGGAGCACACCCCAGGAGTATACACAAACAGCAAGACTTGGATTTGGGGGAAAGAGGTTGTTGGATAGAGACGCTCTGTGAGGATTAGACCTAGGAAGTGGTCACCATAGTGTGAAGTTGTCAGCCTCCCACTTTGTTAAAGCATTTTGCTACACAATTGGGATATTAAAAAAAAAAATGCTAGTCCAAGATGACTGAATTTGCCTGGGAAGAGTATATTTAGGTTGGTGGGAGCTGAGAAAGAAAGAACCTGATGCAGGGCTGAGATGTTAAAGCATTATAGAATCACCACAGGGGGGCAGCAGAGGGGCAGAAATGAGGGAAGGCTGCAGTTTTTATAAGGATCCATGCCAATAATTGCTTCTGCCCAATTTACTTTAAATAAACAATTCTGTCCAGCCGAACATGAATAAGGAAGGGGTTAGTAAAGATTATTCAGTGGGATAGTTTATTCTCCCACATCCAACAATAGCAAACAGCAACATTCTGTACAAAAAATCTATTCTAGCTTAGTTCTAGTTCAAAGTCTCTGTTTCTCCCCAACGCTCTCCTGTCTCCTAAATAAATTATAGCTACCTTGCCCCTGATTTATGTCTCTTTCCCCTCTCTGAAGTGACAAAAACCAACTCAGGTCTCAGAATGATGAAAAACAAGATTGATACAGGTGGGCTCAGCTACATGGAATCTCTTCTTACATATCTCTCATTTTAACAAACTCTGCACAGCTGGAGGAAAATAAAGACTGTCACTATATCATGAATTTTGAAAACTGTGCATCTTAGTTTACGTGTGTATGCATATATCATGCATGTTTAATTATTGTATCAATCACATTTTCTGTTGCTAAAACAAAATGCCTGAGACTGGGGAGTTGGCAAGCGTGACGCTGGCATCTGCTTGGCATCTGGTGGAGACCCTTCTTGTGACATCAGAACATTGCAGAGAGCATCAAGTGTGCTAGCACAGGTCTCTCCTCTCCTACAAAGCCATTCCCCTGGCCTCAGCTAATCCTAATTAATTCCCGAGGACCCCACTTCCAAATACCAGCAATGTGAATTTGGAGATTAAGTTTCCAGCACTTGAACCTTTGGGGGCCACATTTAAACTGGAGCAAAAAACATAAAAAAAAAAATTCTGTCTAATTATTTTGAAAAAAAGAGGCAGGATTTTAGGAATACAGTTTGGAAAGGGAGGAGATTGTATAATTTCAGAAATAAGCCTGAAGTGCATGTATACAGTACTTATTTGTAATGTAATGTACCTTGAAAACATGCCAAAGGTGACTTGTTTCTATGTTCCCATGAGAAATATCCTATCTCTGTGATACATGAGACAGAATGACATTGTTCTAATTGAAACTTCTCTGGCCTGAGGCTGAGGTAGGCCAGTAATTGAGAGCTCATTAGGATATAAACCCAACATCCTGTTTTTGGTTTTAAAGCTGTCCCTAAAAATTCCATGTTTTCTTGCTCTTATTATTTTTTTCCAGTGTTGGGAGCGAATGCAGGTCTTGCCCATGCTAGGCAAGGGCTCTACCATTGAACCACACCTCCATCCTGCCACGCTTTTTATAATGAGAACACAGATATGAATGTTCTTTCACCTCTACCCATGAACCATTTCAATAGTTTAATTTTCTAGAATCAAAGATTATCATTCAGATATACATTTCCCCCATACTTCCTTAATTGGAATTAAGTTGATAATATTAAATTAGTAGGCTGCATGTAAAATCAAGCATGTCCAAAATGGAGAAACAGATTTTCCTTTCCAGTGTAAACAACTATAAAATAGGACAAAATATGGGAAAAAATTGTTTTCAGACATTGGACAACTGGCACTGCAGAATCACGATCCTCGAGACAGCGAAAACAAATGAGATGAGCTCTATGGTTGCCACGACTTTCTGCTCAAGGACACTAAGGAGGTAGAACCCAGGCAATGGATGATGACTCTCTTCCCCCCACTCCAGACCCAGGTCAGAGGCTGTGGCAGCCGGGATTTGTGAAGAATACCTGAGAGGGAGGGGCTTCCCAGAAGAGAAAGCCCAGGAACCTGCATGGGGATTCCATAGAGTCATTGCCGAAGGCTAAGATGAGTGTGCAGAGGGTATGGCTCCATGGGACTCCATGTGGATAGATAAGAGCAACTTCCTGAGAGCTCGACAAGTGCAGAGGGCTCACATAGGGCTGGAAGACACTTGGCTGCTGGAGGAGACCTTACTGAACCCCTAGGACATTCAAAGGAGACACCAGAGGAATCATGTTTTGGTCTAGGACCAAACTAGTCCTACCATAAAGACTGCTCTAGTAGAGCACCTGCCTAGCTAGCTTAAGACCCTGAGTTCAAGTCCCAGTACTACCAAAAAAATAAACAAAAGCTGCACTAGAACTTCCCTCATGAAGTTTAAGGGTCAAGCTAATCAGGATGAAAACTGTTTTCCAAAAGATTTTTTCAACACTATTTAAAGGAAGACAATGTAATCCAGACATGCAGCAATGCTAAATATACAATGTCTAGTAAGCAATAAAAAATATTACATGTGATGCTGGGTGGTGGTGGCTCATGTGTGTAATCTTAGCTATTTGAGAGGCTGAAGTCAGGGGGACTGAAGGTTTGAGGCCAGCTTGATCAAATAGTTTGCAAGACTCCATCTCCAAAATTATCTGAGCAAAATGGATGGAAGGTGTGTCTCAAGCAGCAGAGTACTTGCTTTGAAAGCATGAAGCCCTGAGTTCAAACCCTTGTCCCACCAAAAAAACCAAACCAAAACAAAAAAAAGTGAATACAGGCATAAAAATGTGACCTGTAATCAGAAGAAAAATCAGTCAATGGAAAGATCCAGAAATGACGGAATTAGCAGATAATGAATCCAAAATGGTGCTGATAAATGTTTATTTATGTAAAGGAAAACATGGATAACAAGAGATAACATACATAAGAAATTATCTAACACTGAAAAAAAATGGAATTCAGAAATGAAATATCCAATTAGTAAGTTTAATATATTAGGCCCTTCAGGAAAAAAAGATCAGAGAACTTGAAGATACAGTAACAGAAACAATTCAATCAAACAGTGAGGGAGATAAGCTTAAAAAAATAACCGCAATTATCTGTGTGAAAACATCTACAATCTCCTGTGTATGCTATTAGACTCTTAGAAGAGAAAAGAAGTACTTGAGTTGGCTCTCTGATGCTTATTTTTACTAAGAAAGCTCGAGGGAATGGTATTCTCTGAGTTTGTCTGCTTTCAAATATGTTCAATTGTTTCCATGATCTTATACTAAAAGATGAGTTCAACAGGTATAGGAAAAGAAAAAAAGGAGAAAAAGTATTAGAAGAAAGAATGACTGAAAATTTTCCTGGGATGAGAAATACATACATACAATTTATATATAACTTTCATTCATGAGGGATTTTATGTACATATAAATATACATTATATCATTACATATTAATTTCTCTTCCTACTAAATAAAATATAAATATTTAAATATTTTAAAATCCCTGAAAACAAACATGAATTAGAGACTAGAGGCATTTTTAGACAAATAAAAGCTGAGCAAATGCTGATTAATAGACCCTGACTGCAAAAAATAAACAAACAAAAGGAATTAAAAGAAGCTGCTGCAGCCTCATTTCACTGCCTCCCAAGGGATCCCACAAAGGAATGAAGCATGCTGGAGGTGGTGAGCATGTGACAAATACAACAAAAACTTTCTCCTCATTAAACAATTTATAAGTCAATTGTGTAAAGCAAAAAATAAAAATGCTTCAGGAGGTATACAAGATGCAAAAGTAAAATGTATGACAACATGGCACAAAGAAGTGAAGGTAGAATTCCAGAAGGTAATGACGATTATTAGAAATCCCAGAGTAACTAGTAAAAGTAAAACATAGTTAAGAAGCCCGTGGAAAAAATAAAAGAGAATATGGAAAAATATTTAATCAATTCAAAAGTGGCAAGGAAAATGAAACCAAGGCTAGGTGGTACAAATAGAAAACCAATAGCAGGATGAGATTTAAAACTAATCTCAGTAATCACATTAAATATAAATGATCTAAGCCAAGGTCCAGCAAACTATGGCCCACAGGGTAACTCCCTGTTTTATTTCTATAAATAAAATCTTATTGGAAATCAACCAGGGCCATTCATTTTTATATTTTCTATGACTGTTTTCACACTACTACATCATGGTTAAGGAATCAACAGAAACCATATAGCCTGCAAAGTCTAAAATATTTAGACTTTAGGAAAACACACGCCAATCTATGGTCTGATCACTTACTGAAATGCAGTGATTGCCAGAATAGATTAAAAAAAAAACACACACAAAAATCCACAGATAAATTCTATCCATGAAAAACTCACTTAAATACAAAGACATGGATGAGTTAAAGAATAGAAAGTATTAGACTATTTAAATGTTTCACAGAAAAAAGCTGGAGTGACTGCATTACTATCAGACAAAGTAGATACCTGGGTAAGAAATGGTGCCAGAGTTAAGGAAAGACATTGACTCTAGTGATGAGAAGATCACGATCCTCAATAAGCATGCACCTAATAACAGAGCCTCAAAAACTCATGACAGAAAAAAGAAAGAGAAAATGAGAGTTATAAGTTATTCTGATAGATTATTCACCCAAAAACTATAGAATACACATTTTCTTTAAATGCATATTTACCATGGAGACATAGCTCTATCATAAAACAAAGATCAAAAAATTTTAAAGGGTTGAAACCAAATAGAATAAATTCCCTGACCACACAGGATGTAATTAAATCAATAAATGAAATCATCCTGGGACCATCCTTTATTGTTCTGTTGAGCACTCCCTCTGGCTTTCTCCTTGGCTGAATTGCTGGTTTCCTGAATTTATGTCTTTCTCTTTCTTGCTTTACTTTATCCTCTTGGTAAAGCATCTTTTTTAATAGTTGTGTGAGGAAGGATGCATAGGCTCTGTTCTGAATAGCTTTGTTGCCTCTGAAGCTTCTTTCTCTATTCTTCACTCCCTGTTCTGTGCACTGATCCACAGCACTGCTGTTCCTAACCCCACTTCACCGTCCCCATAGCTTCCCTATGTTCAGATCACACATTTGCAGGTGGATCTTTTGTTAAAATTCTCCTCAAATTACCCATATGAGTTTGCTATGTTTTCCAGTCAGAATACTATATGATTAAAGTGTATTCATGACATACTCAAAATGTCTTAATGATTTGGCTGATACAGAATTTTATATTGGAAATCATTTTCCTCAGAATTTTGACAAATTGTTCCATTTTCTTCTACTTTGCAGTGTTGTGGTTGAGAAATCTAGTGTCGTTTTCTGAAGGCAAGAGAAGGATCCATTTCCTTGCTCATTGGGTCTTGGCAGCACTCAGTTCTTTGCAGTTGTAGGACTGAGATCTTATTTTACGTGTCAGACAAGGGCTGCTCCCAGCTTCTATAGGCCTCTTGACTCACATACCTTGACTCGTGGCTCCTTTACTCCATCCTCCAAGCCAGCGATGGTGGACTAAATCTCTCTTATCCTTCACATCTTTCCTTGTGCTATTAGATCTCTCTGACTACAGCTGGGCAAGAGTCTATTACCAAGGACTTGGTGTGATTTGGTTGTGTCCGCCATATGCCCAAGATAATCTCTCTTGCTCAAGCTCAGCACCCTTAGTCATGGCTGCAAAGAGCCTTTTGCCATGAAAGATAACTCATCCGTGAGGTTCATGGACTAGACAGTAGACAGCCCCTATGTGGGCAAATGCATACATCTAGACAGACATTTATCTGGACACTCCTACCCACAAGCTTTTAAGGAATGCTAATAGGATTGACCAAGGCTAAGGAGGGTTGGAAAGTCCTGCATGTAGGAAGGTAAAGATACTGAATGCTTTAGCACAGAAGATAAGAATTGGAGATGGATCATTTGCAGATAGTTAAAGAGTTTTTATGCATAAGATAGATTAAAGGAAGGTGGTTACGAGGAGGTAGATTTTGGCCCAACAAGGGAATGTTTTCCATGAAAGGATGATCACAACTGTGTGATCTGCCTCATGACCACTCTGAGTTAATGTAGGGGAAGGGACAATTCACTTGCTAAATTAACATGTTATTTAGTCATTTGTACATTCAAAATGCAATACTGATTATTTTACATGTGGCAAAGATAAATTAAAACCCAGTTTATTTCCTGTTTCCAAAAATTTTGCCAGAGACTAGTTGATTGCTCTGAACCTACTCTTGTTCCTTGTTCTCTCCATTCATGTATACAATAAATACTATGGAGCATCATCACGAGGAGGCCTTGAGGATACATCAGTGATGGAAGCAGATGACGCTCCTTGCCTTCATGGGCTCCTGGAAGTCCACTGTCCGGCCTGTCCAGTAGCTCTTGCATCTGTTCCATGTCCTTCATGCCCCCAGCCATGACTGTCATTTAGGTCTTTTTATCACTTCCCTCAACATCTGCAGTGGCACTTCAGTGGTCTCCTCTTTCCTGTATCTCATACCCTGCTTCCTCACTCTGAGCATACAAGCTCTGTAAAATGGAACTCATATAACCGATATATTTTGTTATCCTCAAAGCTATGCACACATGTGTTTGTTGAATGAGTGAAGTGGAAGGGAACTCTAGTTTAAGAAATGTAGAGTGCATCCATTTGTCGCAATGTGCACAAAGAAACACAAAGGGTATCTGAGTGATTTGCTTATAGAAATCAGTTGGCAATGAGCTTCTTCATTTTTTTTCCTGTGGTGGTAGAAATTGAATCCAGAACCCTGTGAGTGGTAGGCAAGCACTCTACAACTGAGCTACATCCCCAGCCCTCTCTTTATGAAAATATCAAGTGTCTGAATATACAAAAGGCTAATAAAGTCATTTATCCATCCCCCTGCTTGCATGGAGGGTATACTGAAAACCGTCTGAGCAGCAATAAATCATCTTTGCACATGTTGGCTCTGGATCCTTAGTATCACACCTCAAGAAACTATTGAATAATTAATTGGCCCAGGAACAGGTCTATTTACAAATCTGAACTCTGAATTTAAGTTAAGCAAAAATGAATGAATATTCTGTGATTAGCCTTCTAACCTTTGTCCCTGACAATGATATTTTTGGAAAACCAAAACTGTACCTGAGCTGGATCTGGTGGTGCATACCTGTTATTTGAGCTCTTTGGAGGTGGAGAGAAGAATTGTGGTTTGAGGCTGGCCAAGGCAAAAAGTTAACAAGACCCTACCTTAAAGAACAAACAGGTATAGTGATACAGACCTATAAAATCTCAGCTACTCAGGAGGCACATGTGGGAGGATTGAGGTCCCTAGGCTAGCCTGGACACAAATATGAGACCCTGTCTGAAAAATAACCAAAACAAAAGGATTGGATGTATGGCTCAAGTGGTAGAGTGCCTATCTAGCAACCGTGAGGCCTTGAGTTCAAACCCTGGTACCACCAAACACATAACAAGCCAAACAAAAAGTTGTACCTGAGCAGGCAACATGACAATAGTTTTTCTCCTGGAGCTTTTCACTTCTGCACCACGTGAAGCTGTTGATCTGGAAAATGCCATAGTCGATGCTCCCATCATCCAGGACAGTCTTGGCCGAGGTGTTGTAGTGGCTCTCGTAGTACGCCATGCAGATCCCTACACGGGGAGGAAGCCAGAGAGACCCGCAAAGAGTCTAAGCCTGTTCTGAGGGGCAACTTCTTTACACATGACACCTAATTGTCTCCTCCCAGGAGACCCCATGAAGTGTGTGAGGCCCCCCCATACTCATACTGCCAGCAGGGGTGGCACCATTGTCTTAAGTCCAGGAGTTCAGGGGAGGAAAGACAGCTGAGGGGAATATGGGACTGGTTAATAGCCCTTCCTAGTGGGCAGAGCACAGAGAGGCTGGAAATGAGCTGATGGGAGCACGACTGGGACCTGAAACACCTCAGAGGTGACCCCAAGGCTACAAAGAATAAGGAGGAAGAAGTCTCACAGTTTCCAAGGTTAAAGCCCCCATAATTATCCAGACTGGCTCTGGAAAATATTTTTGCCAGTTTACAGCGAGTGTAGATTTTGGACTCCGTGACTGTGATGAGGCCAGCCATCAGGGCCAGGACGCCAGCAGCCTTCATCCTTGAGACCATTTGGATGCAGAGCCTGTGAAGGAGCAGCAGAGTGGTCAGGAAGTCTTGATTTATCTTAAGATCATGTTGCCAGTGCAGGCTTCAAAATCAATCAGTCACAGTGGTGGACAGTCCTACCTAGGCACTTGCTGTCACTTTTAATCATTCTGAACCTCCCTGGGGAAAAGGAAAGAAAATCCAGACAGTGTGCATGCAGGGAAGGAATGAGATCGCAGGTGCTTAGTATTTTGTCATGAGGTTTTTTACAGCAGCTCAGTGCTATGATGAAGAGCAAAGAAATCAAGCCCTCTTCAATAACATCCAGGTAGAAATCACAAGCCAATTTCTAGAGTCCCAGTACAACTCTAAACTCTTTATTTATTTATTGAACTCTATATTTATATATACATATGCATATATATATATATATATTCAGAAAAAAACAGAACACAAAGATGACACCTTCCCTATATACACAGGCCATTATAGCCAGAGATAAAACAGATGTGGGTCTGTGAACAGTGACAAGGTTTACTGTTGGAGGTTCACTGAAGGAAGATTATTAGCACACTATTTTTCTCTTCTCTTGATGCTTTTCCAAACACAGGAGGCTTGCTTCACATTTATCATTCCTTTGTCAAGCACGGTGGTACACGCCTGTAATCCTAAATACTTGGGAGGCTGATATCAGGAGGATTACAGTTTGAAGTCAACCTGACCAAAAATTTCATGAGATCCCCCATCTTCACAGAAAAGTGGTGGTAGGTGCTCATTGTCCCAATGATGGTGGGAAGCATGAAATAGGAAGTTTTTGGTCAAGGCCAGCCTGGGAAAAAGCATGAACCTATCTACAAAATAATCAGAGCAAAAAGGGCTAGAGGCATGGCTCAAGTGGTACAGCACCAAAATGAAGCCTGGAGTTCAAACCACAGTGCCACCAAACAACAAAAAATTAGTTTTTAGTCTTATATTGCAATGTAATGTTTTGGGGGCACCCACAACTGCCCCAGTGGGACTTCCTAAAAGCCTGGCACCTGACTGAGGGATGGAGAAAAATAGGTTGCAAGTAGAGGAAAATGTTGAGGAGAGAGGGAGAGAGGCAAGTTGAACAACCTGGCTGGAGTGAGTGTGAAGTAAAATTTCTCATACCTGCTCAGGAGACTACCTCAATATTCATAAAGATTTTCTTATAATCTTTTCTGCACCAGCAGAGAAACTTCTCAGGTGTACTGGCTTCTCTTAGTGGGGCTAGGTACCCTAGTTGAGAAGTGGGTGAGTATTCAAGCAAGGTCAAGCCAAAGAATCACAATGGGGGCTGTACGTCACTAAGCAATGGGTAACTATGGGCTTGTGACTAGCTGGTGTCAGCAAACCAGGCCTGCTATTGTAAGTAAAGTTTTATTGGAATCTGACTTTGCCCGTTCAGTAATACATTGTCTATTGCTGTTTTCATGCCCCACTGTCAAGGCCAAATAGTTGTTTCAGAGACTGTATGGAATACAAAATCTAATATGTTTATATTCTGGCTCTCACTAGGCACTGAAAGCAGATGAACAAGGTTTAAGATACAGAGCTCACAAATAAAATGTGTTTCCACCTCCTGCTTTAGAATCTGGTTTGAAATAGTCAAGAGAAAAGTCACAGCAATGACAGCTCTGAGCAAAATGTCCTACATCCTTCGAGCCCTGGTTGCCATGGCTGGTCCTTTGGGATAAGTGGTTTCATGACAGTCATTCTGATCTTATTTAAAAGGGAGGTCCCCAGGCCTGCCCACACAGCTGTCTTCTCAGGCAACTCTGTGGGAAAGCCATTGTACTTACTCAGCCAGTGATGGGGAGCTCTCCTCTGCTTCCTGCAGTCCTGAAGGACATTTCTGATTCTTACAAGCACAGTGATCCTTCACTCAATCAAGACCTCTACTCAGAACCTTAGAGAAAGAAGAATTCTTAACTCCTTTGTTTGCAGCTGCCCAGAGATTCTGGAATTCTGTTCTTGGGACTTAAGGCCATGACATCCTGCACTCTTGTTGTCAGTGGCAGGTGATAACTATATTCTAAGTCTTCCTGTCTCTGCTTTTGCCTTCTTGCCCTTTAACAACCATCCTTACTACAGAGTTTGGCCAGGGTCTCCTATTCTAGTGAGAGTTCCTCCACAAAGCAGCAGTCTCCAAACTTTATCACAAATCCCATTAGTAAGGAAAGTGAAGCACATTCTCCAGCAGGTGTATATTGAACTAAAAATGACACTCCTGTATTTCTGTACTAATATGCGACAAAAACTATAGACATATATAAATTTAGAATTTGGAAAGGGAGACAGATGAAACTAACATTTAAATTTTAGTGATAGCACAAAATTTCTTTGCTCTGAATAAATGGTTATTAATAAAATATTTGTAGTGAGATCAGTGTACTGCCAGTTTTTTAAAAACTTTGGTATGAAACTGGGTAAACCAATCACCAAAGTTTCATTTATTTCTATATTTGGATTTAATGACACATCTGAAGTTAATTCTAATTGAAATATATAAATCCAAGTGGAAAATTATTGTTGGGTTCATATAACCATTACATTTTCAAAAATTCCACTTGCCAGTAATATAGAGATTTAGTCAAAATTTACTTTTCAGTCTACATAGTGTTACAATGTGCAGCTATGATACAACAGCTGACTCATGGTCATGACTATTGAGGTTATTTCATTTTTCTAGTATAAACACTGTAAATAATAATGTTCACCTTTGGAAGAATATCCACAAGATAAACTCCTGGAAATGGAATTGCTGTGTCAAAAAAATGTTTTTGTAATTTTGATAGATGTCATTCAATTGCGTTGACATGGACTCAGGAAGATGGCTTCAGCACTGCCAGGCCAGCACGCCCTGCTATCAAACGATTCAGTATTTCCAATCTAAGGGATGAAGCAAGATGTGTCAGGATGGTATCAGCTTCTACCTCCCTTATTTCAAGCTGGCTGAGCATCTTTTCCTACGTGTAGAATCTACTGTGGATCTTCTTCTGGCAAAATGTCTGAAATATGAGAAAACATAGAGGTTTATTCTTCAAAATACTTTAAAATAGAGATTTTACTAATCATTGAGGAAATGGGGACAGATTATCTTTTTCTTCTTTAAACAACTTGTTTAACAAATTGAGGGATACAAGACAAATATACAAAAACCATTCATATTTTTCCATATTCATATTTTTTATGATCAGCAAAATTTAGAATTTTAAATAAAAATATCATTCATAATAGCACACAAAAACAAAGTACTTAAATTTAAATCTAATGAAATGTGTGCAGGATCTGAATGTTGACAACTATAAACACAGATAAAAAAAATCAAAGAGCTAAACAAATAGAAAAGATACACCATGTTCATGGATTAGAAGTCTCTATTATTAAGATTTGACCTAGGAGTCAATGAAATCCAAATCAAAAATCCTAGAACATTCCTTTGAAAATATCAGGAAGATTATCCTGAAATACATATGGAAAGCAAAGAGGCTAGAATAATTGAAAATATTCTGAATAGAAATAAAATTAAAGGACACATGCTACCTAATTTTAAAGAAATATGAAGTTGTTGTGATCAAGACAAAGAGGTATCAATGAAAAGATAAACACATGGCCATTGGAACAGAATAGAAAGCCCAGAAATAGAGCCACAAAATGTAGTTAATTGAATTTTTAAAGATATAAATGTAGTTTGATGGAAAAGTGATTTTTTTCAACAAATAGTATTAGAACAATGGGTGTCTATATGAATAACAACAAAAATAAAAGAAGTCACACTGAAGGAGACATACTTCCTACCTTATTTATATAATAATTCAAAGTGTATCAAAGACCTAAATGTAAAAAGTAGACCTTGGGTTTGGCAATAACTTTAAATATAACTTCAAAATCATAATCCATGAAACAACAGTAACAAAAGCTTAACTAGATTTGATCAAAATTAGAAATGTTTGCTCTTTGAATGACACTGTTCAGAAAATGAAAAGACTAGCTAAAGTCATTTTCAAATTCGTAAATATGAAAAATTTGCAAATCTCCTGTCTGATGAAAGCCTCATATCCACATGTAGAAGATGGAAACTAAATTCCTAGCTCTCCCGCTGTACAAAATTAATTCAAAATGGATGAAAGAGCTAATGTAAAACATGAAACTTTGACACTACTATGGGAAAACACAGCAAGATACAGGCACAGGCTACAACTTTCTGAACAAGATTCTAATAGCTCTGAGAGTAAAAGAAGAATCATCAAGTAAATTGCATCAAATTAAAAAGCCTCTGCACATCAAAGGAAACAATTAGTAGAATGAAGAGGTAACTTACAGAATGGGAGAAAATCTTTGCCAGTATTCATTGGATAAAGGATTAATATCCATAATATATGAAGAGCTCAAAAAAGTAAACACCCGAAGAACAAATAGCCCAATTAACAAATGGGCAAATGAGTTGAGCAGACAGTTCTCAAAAGAAGTACAAATAGCCAATAAATGTATGAAGAAATATTCTTAGCCTTAGAGGAAAATCAAAACAACATTGAGATGTCATCTCAACCGGTCAGAATGGCTACCATCAAATGAACAAACAGCAACAAAAGCTGATGAGGGTGCTCTGTAGTGGGTGGAGGGAGTTCACACACCATTGGTGGGAATATAAATTAATGTAGCCACTAAAGAAATCAGCATGGAGGTTCCTCAAAAAGCTAAAAAGTAGAACTACTATATGTTTCTCTATACCACTCTTGAGCATTTATCCAAAGAAATGTAAGTCAGCTACAACTGAGATACCGACACACCCATGTTTATTGCAACTCTATTCACAATATACACACTGTGCAGTCAGCCTAAGTAGCCATCAACCAATGAATGGATAAAGAAAATGTGGCATATATACATAATGGAGTATTATTCAGCAATAAAAAAGAATGAAATTAAGAAATATGCAGGAAAATGAATGGAACTGTAGAGCATGATGTTAAACAAAATAAGCTAGA